CTTTATATTTTGTATAATGTGATCTAAAAGGAACTATATTGAATGTTGATCGCAGCAGATTTTCTGTGAAGTTACCCGTTACGCTTAGAGGAATGTTTCGACAATGCATTTCATCAATACACTGGAGTGCATACGTACACGACCTCTTGTTATAAATGTTACGTTATGTTCCTCCAGGCAACAACTTTATCAAGAAATTAATTGAATGAAATAATCCATTACTTTGATGAGACTTTTTGAAGTCGCTCTATAGACGCTTCTTATATAGAACTTCCAGGCATAAAATGTTTGGATTGAAATAAAAAATTATTTGCTCTCAAATAAGCGAATAATAATTAAAAATGATAATTAAAACTCGTATGCTAGAAATGATTATTTGTAGTTATCTATACACACGCACACACACATATATATATATGTGCGCACACACACATATATGTGTACGCACACACACGCCTATGTAAAGGTAATCGGTAAAGATTTTCCTTTAGGTATTCTTAGATGATTTGGTATTTGAAAGTAAATCCCACTTTCCCATGCAGTGGCCACACAGATTTAGGGCGCGAAAAGATCATTGAGAAAATATTTAATACTTAAGCGACAAGAGGGGGGGGGGGCGATAGTAATTTCCTTGACAGTTATGGAATCAAGACCTTTGAAGATAACCCTGGTTAAGCCTATCCCTCGTTGGCTCACAAAATTAATCAAATCTTTTCAGCTTTTTCAGATGGTGACGTTATTTGCATTTGAGGCTGACAAAGGTGAACACCAAAAATAAAAAAGTAAATGATTTTTTTCGGTCAGAGCAAGAGTCACTGTAGAAAAAGAACTTTGGGTGTTTGGTTGAAGGGGGGGGGTAATTTGCTATTATAAAAACATTTTCACGTTCATCTTTCACATATAAAAGTAAATGCTTCAAACTCACTTTATCGTAAAACATTCACAACGATATTTATGCTCTTTTTTTGTTCTAATTTCTTTATCAGAGAAACTCACAAAAGTCGTGAATATTTCATATTGCCTTTGGGAAATGCATGAATCTATTTCTTCTGTCCCTCGGCTATGGATCAAATAGCAGGGTAAACCAGGCTCTCTAGTCTTGAGTCGCAGCTAGTTTAGGAGAATGATTGATGGATTCGAAACTGTTGTGAAGGCAATAGGAGAGCACTCCTAATAGTTATCCAAAGTCACTACATAAAGAAAATTAATCTATAGAGAGCCATGATCGTCTATGGACGGATGGTTATGACATAAAGGAGGGATTGGATTAAGTGCATTGTTCACCTTGCCGTACAACAATGTTTAGTAATCCATCGATCCAGACAATTACAACTGAAAGGAATTCATTTTTCGGGGTTTTCTATCTATATTTAGGCTTATTAAATAGGCAAGTTTTTTCGTGTAAATATTAGGTGTATGTAAAAATTTATAACGTAACTTTTCGTACACTGGCGATTGAATCCTTAGAAAATTATTTTTAACAGCTGGGAAATTTTGCACATACTTAATAAGTAAAATATGTACAGAGCAAGAAATGACGAATTTATAATAAAAATGGCGATCTTTTTTTGTGATTAGGTGATAACTAAGAATAACATTTAAATTTAAATCATTAATAAAATACAAAGGTATAATTAAAAACGCTGTCTATAGATGAGGCATTGCAAAAACAATGGATACAAAAATTAGTCAACAGCTAAATTTAATATAATTTTTTATCCATTCTAATTCAAGGAGTGGGGAAAAACACGATTTGGACATTATCAATATTCGATAAACAAAAGCAGGAGTCAATCGATTGTATTTTAATTTCATTCACATGTACATTAAACAATGTCGTAGTCTGCAAATGATACGGAATCATTTTCGTTACTCTACGGGAATTTTTTATTTGCATCCTTAATTGCATCATTGTCTTTATACCAAACGTTTCTGCTGAGAATCTTCGGTCTTGCACACTAGTTCAGATTTCGAACAATAAATCAGGTAAGTTGTCTACACAAAGAAGACCGAAAACTTGCAAGAAACACGGCGTAGTTTCAGAGCGTGATTCTCCGTGCACCATTCTTCTTCAGCGTCTCATCGGCATTTAACAAATCTGATCTACATGCACAATTCTGCTAAAGTGAGTGACCTACACACAGCATAAAAAAAATAAGCTACATATGACTGGAAATCATTTACGACAAAAGGTGGTAAATATAACTTGAACTCATTTACGATTCGTTGTGGGATTATGGTAAAAATTTGAGAATCTAGTGGAATTTAAAATGTTTAGCAAAATGAAATAAAGTTTCTGGTGGATATAAAAACCAGACCGGCTTTCAAGTTTCTTTTTATTCCTGCACCTCATTGAAACAAGTCAAGATGAGAGCGAAAGAATTTTACATAAATATAAACATATAAATATATATACATAAAAAAACATACCATAGATTCTGCTAAAAATAAAAATCATCCTCGATAATAGCTAAAAGGTTGCCGAAATCGCTTGAAACGCAGAAGATTTAAACCATTTTTACCCACTTTATGTGCCAAAAAATAAACACTTATAAGAACACAAGATAAATTAAAAAGCTTAATCGCATTACTTTGTCAGTTTGTCTGTATAAAACAGGGACTGCTATCCAAATACACAAAACACACACACACACACACACACACATATATATATATATGAAGAAACATAGTTTTAAGGTATGCTATATTTATGGGGTAAAGTGCGCAATATCAGATATGGAGTGTATATAAATATAAATGTGTATAATATTGAAGTCAACACGCATAGGCGATGATTGTGTTTAGCATAAAACAGTCTGTCGCTTTTGAGTGTTGACTTCAATGTTCACTTTATACATACAGACATACATACACACACATATATATATATATCTTAAATAAATATACATAATAACCCACAATGATTGCACAACTCAGAGTTTCATGCTGTCTGCAATTCTCAGGTGCCAATTTTGGGTTTACACCGTTTACACCGCGAAAACCAGAAATATTAATTTCTGGTTATCGCGAGATATTTTATTGTTAAGGTGGATTATTATTGCAGATATTTTATTGCATGATATTTTCAAGTGCGTATTATTTTGGGATAACAGATTTTGTTAAATATTTCTGATTATCGTGGAATATTTTATTGTTAGGGTAGATTATTAGTGTTTCAATGAATTGTAGTTTAATTTTGAATATGAATTTAGGCCCAGAATAACATTTAAGATTGAAAATAAGAAATATAAATTTTAATTTTAAAATGGACGCTTTTGGTATTAAAAAAAACTTTTGGAGATCAGGAGTGGTAACTGTATTTTTTGTATGAAAATCAGAAAAGAAATGAATAATATTAATAAGATATAAATGAATATATAATCAGGATGCTAAATAAATAAATTGCTTAATTGTTGTGATGCATGCATAAAAGTTGATATAGAATAGAACTCCTTTTATTTCCAATGAATGTAAATCGAGCAATACAAATAGTGTTTGCTCTAATTTTATTTTTTACTTTTGTATTTAAACTTATTTGATAGACGTGAGAGTTGTTGCTAATGATCAGTATTCAATCTCGGATGAAAAGTACAGGCAGGCTTCTTGTCTCCTATTTTGTTCTAGACTAATCTAAGCAAAATCAATCTAATGCCGCGAGAACTTTATCATAAAAAGGAAATTTGTCCTAATAAAAACTGGAAGTACTCCACTCATAACACTCGTATTCTCGTAACTGAAATTTACTGTTGATTTGCTAATATCACGGGAACGTTTCTATCGAATAAAAAGCGAAAGACACGTCCTCTTGGAGAGGTAAAAGTGGTTTCATACGAGACAGAATGGTACCAACAGGTGTCCACAAAGGAGATGCCATAAAAAAATGATAGAGAACGTTTAAGAGGATTTCAAGTGTTCCTGATAATTTTCACATCTCTGTATTAAGAACGTCAAACCAGTTTACGTGAAAAATAAAGAAAAAAAAACTCGAGTAACAGATTTGTACAGGAGGCTATGCAGTAGTTAAAAATTCTAGCAAATATTCACTAACCTGTGTTTGGTACAAGGTCACGCTAAAGATTTCGCAGTGAGGCCTGAACTAGCCAATCGCAGTGTCCCTGCTCTTATTTCTCATTAGTATTGTTATTATGATACACCATCATCATCATCATCAAAACTGTTTAGATTTGAGGTTATGAATGAAAATGTTCTCTCATCTTTAGTGACATTGTATATTGATTCGGCAATATTTTGCCAACCTTCTCTGTCCTCTGCGAGTTGGCGGATTCGTTGCAGATCTTCCATGATTGTAAACTTCTCCAAAGCAAAAGTGGGATCTTTCTACTTTGACTGTCTCGGTTCAGCTTTGTGACTATGGTGGTTCTTAGATGACCTTTAAACTTTTTGGTACACGATCACAAATATAGAAGACTAGTCTATGATCAAATTAACTCCATTAACGTTTGCGTGCCTCCATATTTCGTTCAGCATAATCGCAGTAAAATTCACAGGTGCCAACTCTCTGGGTGTCGAGGAAACCCGAATGGGTTTGATCCAAAACGATCCTGAGCAGAGGTGCATGTTTGAAACGGGCAGTAATACTGAAGATGAAAGATCACACTGATTTATAGTGGTCCTTAAAGTTGAAACGCTTCTGACAACGATCATGATTAGTGTTTTAAGCTCTTTGCTTTACGTTAGTTCAGGTCATAATTTGCTTTCTGTCATATTGTCTCGGTTATAGAAAAGTTAATATTTATCTTTGATATATAATGTACACTTCTAAATTTTAGTCTTAAAAATGTTGAAAAAAAGTGTGTATTATACACAAATAATTACAGTGCCATTTCTGATCTTGGATCAACTGGTCTCTTTCTCCCTCGCAAATTATTTTTTCATGAATACGTATCAATAAACACTAACAAATAAAAGCTCATTGTGCGAAATAATAAATTCAGGGTATTTCTTTGTGGAGATTTGGATTCGATTAGGAATTCTCCATTTTAGAAATATTTTTCGATAAAGAGGTAGATAGATAGATAAATAGATAGAGAGAGAGAGAAAGAGAGAGAGAGAAAGAGAGAGAGAGAGAAATTTATAAAAAAAGAAAAGACTTCAAGAAAGTGACGGTACTTGAAGAAAGCTGAAGAATCTATCGACCAAAATGGTGTTTTGTAAAAATGAAGAAATTCGTCGTGTCATTGTGTAGAGTAATAAAAACTATTTAAGATTTCAAACTTCGAAACTAGTCATGGCTTACCAGCCTATATAGAACTGGAATTTTCAACTTTTACTTGCTAAATTGTTCCAAGCAAACATTTGTTTCATTTTTAACATGAATTCCAATATGCGTGAATAAATTTTCATTTTGATAAATCCACTCATTACATTTGTATAGTCGATTTGCCAAATTTGTGTCGTCCATTTATAAAATCTGAACATAAAATGCATATTCATAAAACTAAAAAAAAAAAAAAACTTCAATCATTTTGGGTCTCATTTTCCATCATACCCTATTTTAAGGACATTTTTCCAGCATTTCCCAAACGGAATGACGCCGACAAATGTCGGCTGTCAAAAGGTGAGCTTGTAAATCACCTAAGAAATGACACTGTATTTCTTCTGCTTCCCGTCCCAATAACAACGACCAGTGACGCGATGTCGTGCCACAGACTGATTTACCTCCCCTTCATTTTGCAGCGGGTTTCAAGGAAAGTAGAGGAGTTTCTTTTCCTTTTGTTTTCTTTTAATTTTCAAATGGTTTATCGAGGAAAAAAAAAAGAATAGAGAGAAACAGGAAACGTAGGGTCAAGATGTCAGTGAAATGGAGAAGTCTTTAAAAACTTGTTTAAAAAGAAAAGATTCCATTAGAACAGATAAATTTCTGGTAATTTATAGGGAAGGAAGATTAGAGAGAGTGCAAAAAAAAAAAAAGGATTAATCAATGGAAACGTGTGAGAGGAAATTGTTTTCACAGACGCACACAAGAAACAGTTCACCTTTACAAGTTGGGAATAAAGAGACGAGGCTCATAAGATAAAGCTTCAATACTTTAAACATATTTTAATATGAATTGTCCGCTTTTACATCTGAGCCTTGAATATTACTTTGACAGTTTTTTGTATTCAGTCTTGTCATCGGCACAGGAATTGAATTCGGCATAACGAGTTCAATTCTGACTATTTTGCTTCGTTTACTTCGCGTTAATATCATTGGAAAAAGCATAGATATATTTTCCTTCAGTGAGGATTAAATTCAGACCAATATTAAGAACTATTTGTGTCCTTGGTGGTCAGTATTTTCCTAGTACAGGCGTCTTCCATATTGAGTTCGTTAGCAAACTTGTTTCGTTAGGTCGTCTGATCTTTCCTTCATGCTTTACTACTACTACTCATACTGCTGCTACTATGACCTTGTGCCAAGCTTCCGAAGTAAACACTAATATTGTTGTAACGAAAAGAAAAAACGGTGAAGAGAAACAATTGAAAAGAAAAAATAAACGTTGAGTTGGGTAAAGTCTGACAAAAGTCAATATAAAATTTCCAAAGATTTTATTTCGAGAAAATAGGTTTCGTAAATTTAGATTACAGGTTTTTGTCGGACAGCGCAAATTTTTCTTTAATAAGATTTCTCGAACACTCAGGCCCGCCATCGAAAAAAATATATCCTGTTTAATCAATAAACGGGGCGTCTACTCAAATACGAGTATCCACTAAAAATAACGCTTAAAGTAATAAAAAATGATTACTTATGAAAATGAGAGAACGTGACTGTCTTTTATTCTGCATATCAACGAGAGAAAAGAATAAACATGCCCAGATCAGTTTCTTAAGGAAGATAGGTAAAGGTAAAAAAAAAAAAAAAAAAATTTCTAGTCTAACATTTTAAATGAATGTGGAAATGATGGGGGAGAAGGAAGCGCGAAAATAAATTTCTTGTTTAGGAAAATTTATCAGTTTTGATTTTCATCTTGATAGGCAAAGTATTATAAGTGGAAGCTTAGTTAAGGTGAAATATTGATAATAACTGCGTGTGTGTCAGAGATGAGGAATGAAAAGAAACACGTTCTCATATAAATCACACAGTTCATGAAGTTCATGAATCACAAGGAGGCAACTGTATAGCCGCTAACAAGTTTCGTTCTCATGATTATTAGCGGTTTTGTAATAGTGTCTTAAATAAAAGTAAGTCTTCTATTCCTCTTCTCTTAATTTGAAATGTTAAAATCTGCTCATAATGCAAAATGTTTTGCTCGTAAATTCTCTTCAAATTTTACTCTTGACATTTTTGCCTGTGTTTCCCCTTAGAACTGAGTCTTTATAAAGATTCATGTAATTCTGTTCATGGTTTCTGCTATCATCTCTAAAGTGGATCCCCACAAAGAATATGGACTTTATGGTATCCCTACAATGGCCCTTAAGAAATATGCTCATGAACTGGCTCCTGTTCAATCTAAACTGTACAATAAATACCTTACTGTTTCTTGCTTTCTTGTTTCTTAGTAATCCTCTTCTGTAATACAAATCTTTTGGAACTCAGGTGAACCGTTTAATCCATCTAACTATTCTCCTATTAGCCTTTTACCCCTCTCTGGCCAAGCATTAGAGGCTATAATCCGCCCTGAATTGGTTGGATATCTTGCCTTGCTGGCTCTTCATTCAGATAAACAATATGTCTTTTGTTTTCTTAGGCCCATTGCTGATGTATTAATGATTACTGCTGAAAGAGTTTGTCTAGCTTTAGATAAAAATGGTGGAGCTTGGGCTGTTGCTTTCAATATCTCGAAGATATTTGACAGGGTTTTGGCATGCTGGTCTTCTTACCAAGTTGAAAGAGTATTTCTGGACGAATCTTTGAACTGATTCAATCTTTCTTATCAAATTGCGAAATATAAGTTGTCTCTTTTAGATCTTTTTGCATCAACGTAGGTGATCTCCCCCCTGCTCTTTCCTTGGACCCATATTGTTCGTAATTTTCATCACCGACCTTAAACATTTCTCAAATCGACATCTATGCTAATGTAACAACTATTTACTCCAGTCTTAATAGTAAGTTTCATCGGTTCGATAAGGTCAAATTGGCAGATGATCTAAAAAAACAAACAAAAAAACCCCTCCATTCTATTGTTAACAGATCTCTTTTAATCGTCTAAGATAACCCTTTTCACCTTTCATCAGTATGGCTGATGCTAAGCTCCAGGAAAGTGGCAGATTGCACCCTCCTGACATGAAATAGAAATATTATATTGAATCAATTACCAAGTCTGCGGCTAGAAAAGTTGGTTCACGTTGTGAAGCTAGACAATCTTTCTCGCTATAATCTATCTTATATATTTATAAGTCTACCGTTCGTCCATGCTTTCAATATTGCTGCCACATGTAGTCTGGGGCTTGTGCTATGTATTTAGAGATTCTTGATAAAATACAAAGAAGGATCTGCAATGTTACTACTCCTGACCTGGCATCTCAGCTTAAGTCCCTCTCCCACCGCCGTAATACAGCTTCCCTGTGTCTTTTCTATAAATATTTTCATGGCATTTGGTCTGATGAACTTTCCTCTACACTTTATGAATTTAAGCGCAGTACTAGATTGGCGGTGAGGTCTCATCCTTTTACAGTTAAGATCTTTAGATGTAACCATAAATTCTATTCTAACAGTTTCTTTTCTCGTACTTCTTGCTTGTGGAACTCTCTTCCGGATTCTTGCTTTCCAATCAACTTTGAGCTTTAAAAAATTAAATTCAATAACAATTTTTATCTTCTGTCTTCTTAATTCCTGTTCCCTTATTGCTCTCGCCTTAATATGGTTTTATTTTCTCATGTTCTTTCACATTCAGTAACCTCCTTGCGTCTTAGTAACTTTATTGCCTTGCTTGGAGGGAAATGATTAAAATGTTCTTGCTGTAAGGCTATTTTTTGCCAAACAATCTTGCCAACGTTTTATCTTGTGTAAGGAGTTCGAACCTTACTGTATCAGAATAACCTAAACAAATTTGTGGACACACCCGCCACGAATATTGTGTAGGAAAAAAGAGAATGTAGTGGATTCTGTTTCATGAATTTAGATTTCTATTCAAAATGCTCAGATTTTATTTCTTCTCTGGAGAACCGGCAAATATAAAAGTAATTTAAATTGACTTTAGAATAACAAAGCCTTCTAAATCTGTTAAAGAAATGAAAAAAGAAATCATACAAAAAAACAAAAAGAACAAAAACACTTCACTTTCATCTGCCATATATTTGTTTATTGTCTGCTTCTTAATGCACAGGTGAAAATTAAAACCAAAATTAACTTCATATTAAAAGGGAATTTGATGTGCTACCTCTTTCTCTACATTTCACACTGGCCACTTAACGTTGTTCTGTTTTCATTGGTTTTAAATACAATGCCACAAGTCAATTAGCTGCTGTAGCGACATGTGTTCAACAGGCCACACAATGTCTTGCACCTGATAAGGTTTTAGCTCCTTCTCAGTTAAGAGATGAATTGGAATTCAATCAGACAGGTCTACAATGACATCTGACAAAAATCCTAGGATTGAATAAAGAAAAAGGAAAATGACAGAAAAGCGTATAAACGTTTTTGAGGAGAGTGAATCTTAGATGGAAAATTAATTTACTGTCAGACAAAAAACAGCACGTGTGGTTTTCGACCAAATGTTCATTGAGAAGTTCAAGGTTTGAGGTTTCCATCAAGTTATGATACACAAGGCTGAAAGAAAAATTGTGATCTGAAGTCAAAATAATGAACCCTTTCCCTGAGATGCTTAATACTTCTATAATCAGAGAAACTGTTTTCATAGAAAATGCATTAAAGAATATAGTTTGGTGATAGTGAGAAATCTTAGCTTATTTGACAGAGGCGCAACCAACAGTTCGAATTTCGAGGCAGGCGTCTTCACAGCTTTTGGGGGGGGGGGAGATCTGCAATAAACCCCATCCTCAATCCCCGAATTGTTGAGTTTGTGGATGAGCGATTTTGTGCCATCCATACAATATAAGTATTTTAGCCCAAAATGTTGCGCCTTCTCTCTGGGTAACATCCTCAGTCTCACATGAAATGAAAATTCAATCAATTATTAGGTCAGCTGCTAAGAAAGTTGATACATTGTGTCGAACTAGACATTTTTTCTCTCCAGAAACTATTTTACAT